CGTTCTCATGAGTAGACGAGTGGTTTGATTTACGCGCGTACGTATAAACTAACCATTCAGAGACTGTGGGTCAAACTCGAGACGATATCCCCGTACAAGTTTGGCTTCGGAGTGCTATTAGGTATACGGAGGTACATGGAATATATGTATAGGCCGAAAGTGGAGGAGTTAAGGAACAAAGAATTTAATTATGGGTTTATTGGTATAGTGTGAATTATATTGATTTATACATCTTGAAAAATAGTAAATAACCTCGATAAATTATGAAATTTGAGAAGAGGCATGTATATGTGATTCTAGAAAACTTTTGTGCCTTAATTTTTTATTAAAAAGATCGATTAGAACTTATAATTGGATGATCTTAATTATAGTAGTTTTAATTCATTTTAGTAATGCAGATTTTAGAGGCTGTTTTAACTCACGAAACGTGCTCATTTTTATTGGTTTCGCATAAATTGAAGTAAAACATTACTCTGCACATGTTTCGTGTTTTGAACTTTTTCGAAAAAAATCATCTTAGGGAAGTTTTTGTTCGTTTTCAGCTTCAAATTTCTCGATTTAATTCCGTCTAGGTTTTTCTATCAAGTTTTTCTCTCAACCTGTTCAGTTTCTGTTACATTCGTCAGCTATGTATTTTACGAAACGGTGCATTTTTATACTTCTTCAGTAAGTTACTTATGATTAAATTATACTAACTTTATTTTTTTACAGGTTGGTGGGTCTTTCTAATTTTTTTTTATGCAGGGATGACCCACCATATTTTTATTTCTATTTTATTTATTTCATACTCAATTTATATTTCGTTGTGTACGGGCAAGAAACTAAATGCCACCGTATCTCGAGAAACTACTCATTCGTCTCGGTGCAGATACAACTACTTGTCTTGTCCCGTAACAAGAATTAAATGTATTTTTGTTTGTGTCTGGTGGACACATGGGTGTTAAATCTTGTACTCATACCAGTATACTTATATACCGACCCGTTTTGTCTCTTGGCAACTCGGGTACGTTCTGTCTGAGCGCAACTGAGCTTTCTTTGCATGATTAGTTGGGGCTACGGTGGTGATGTGGAATTATTATAGTGTTGGACTTGTCGTTTAGACCTCTTTTGTTTTCTTGAGCTTAGGGTTGATATTAGTTTATGTATTTATTATTTTTTTAATGACTTTAGTATTGGAATAATTTGGCATGATTTGTAACCGTACTTTATTGAAGTTGTTTTGACTGGTTATTGCTACCTGAATGTTGAGGTATTGGTTAGTTATGAAATTATGATGGATAGTTTGGTTGGCGTTTAGTTTTTTTTTTTTTGTTTCACCCCTAAGATTTGGATGATGGAATATTATTGGGATTAGTCCTAATTTAATATTTAATTGTCCGAATTTTGGGGCATGAAAAATCTTCCCTTGTCCTTCAACTTTGGAAGTTGAGGAGTTGCCATAAAAAGTTGTTCACCGTTGTCCACTGTAGAATAAGATGTGAACATCTTTTTGTCGGCACAAATGTGGCGAGTAGGACCAGTGTCCACCCACCATTCTTTAGGATTTCCGACAAGATTTGTCTCGGAAACAACTGTAGAAAGATTGATGTCATCTACACCATTGGAAATATTGTCCATTTCGGTCATATGGGCTTGAGCAGGCTTCTTACTTGTTCTTCTTTTGTTTTTGTTTTTGCCTTTGCTACGACAATCTTTAGCCCGATGTCTCTCTTTGTCACGGATATAACATTTGCCATTGAACTTGTACTTTTTAGTTTTCCCTCTTTTAGAGCCTTGTGATGAACTTTCTCCAGAAAACTTCCGTTTCTTGGCTTTTGGAGCATGTTCCACCACATTTGTCTTTGACTCCATTGGATGCTTACCAGCTCACCTCTCTGAATTGCGGTTGTTCTCCTCAATCCTCAAATGCACAATCAATTCTTCCAAAGACATTTTTTTGTGCTTGTATTTGAGGTAGTTCTTGAATCCCTTCTAGCCTTGTGGTAATTTCTCAATTAAGGCTGCAACTTAGAAGGATTCACTGAGAGACATGCCTTCTGCGTGATTGTCATGCAGAATGAGTTGGAAATCTTAAACTTGGCTGATCACAGTCTTAGAATCAACCATCACAAAGTCTAGGAATTTGCCAATCACAAATTTCTTTGAGCTGGCATCTTCCGTTTAGTAGTTTTTGTCCAAAAACTCCCAAAGTTCCTTTGCTGTCTTGATAGGACTATAGACATTGTATCATGTATTGCCAAGTCCGTTCAAAATTAGTTCCGGCAAAGGAAATACACATGTTTCCAAGCATCGACCGCAGCAACCACTTGCCGGTCAGTTTCATCCTCTTTCAAAATAGGAGCATTCTCACGGAGAAAACGAGCTAGGTTCAAAGTTGTATAATAGAACAGCATTTTCTGCTACCATCTTTTAAAGTCAATTCCAGGGAATTTCTCTGGCTTCTCACCGTGATTTACCAGTACTGTCACAATAGGAGAGGGTGTTGGCGCAATTGCAGCCACTACACTAGTACTTGTTTGAGCATTTGTTTCAGTAGACATGAATTCTAAATTATAAAACAAAATTATAATTAGAATTTATACTACACAGAAAATTAATCAAAATTTACAAAATTAAATTCTGTAAAAATAAAAGAAACAAAAATGTAACTTTTATTTTTCAATTAATTTGGAAATAAAATAAAAATTTTATTTGACCAAATTAATTCCACACATAAAATTAAATTTCTGTAACACTTCAATAATTAAAAAAATGAATTTATTTTTAATTAATGAACACTCAGAAATTATTAAGAAAACCAAAATTAAGTTCTGACAAACTTCACAAATAAATATTCTGAATTGTTAATGACACTAGTATATTACTACTAGTTGTCAAAAAAAAAAGACAGTATATTACTACTATTTGTTTTCTAAGCAGAATATTATTTTTTGAAATCACAGAAAATAATTTCTGTAAGAAGAAGAAAGAAGAAAGGAAATAAACAAAAAAATTTGTAAACAGAATAATTCGAATCTGTCTTAAGATTGTTGGAACAATCTTCTGTGTACAATTAATAAATTGAAACAAAATCAAACAAATAAAATAAATAACTTACCGAATTTATTTTAACCAAGCTGAATGAATATTTAAAGACGAAGTCGAGTGTGTGACATTCTGTTCTTAAGACAGATTCGCCCTGCTACGGTGCTTATAGTAAAGTGGCGTTTATCTCCTAGGATACAATGATCTTCACAAATTTGTAGTAACAGTGCCCAAACAAATTTGTCCGGTGAACTAGAACCTTGTGTTCTATACTCTCTTAAATTTTTCTCTAAAACTAGAATGAAGGAAAAATAACGCAAAGGAGAAAATTGGACAGAAAAACACAAATTTCAGACTGATTTTCGGATATCGAAAAATGCTAGAACAGGTCTGGTTTTATAGACCTGAACAGGTGCAAAATTTGAAGTGAACAGATGGGTTTTTGAATTGAACAGGTACTGTTTGAATTCCAACAGATCTGCTAGACAGTTTGATCTGTTTGAACTGTACAGATTCAAATCTGTTAACTGCAGTAGTTTCTGGAAGTTATAAACTGAAAAACAATTTGAAACTATTTAGGGAATTCGGACAAAAGTTGGTAAATAATGGACATAAAATAAATTCAATTTTTGAATTAAATTAAATTTTCGTGCAATAATTTTGAAAAATTTCAAAAGAATTTTGTTCAAAAAATTAATACAAGAACAGACCCGACCCGACCCCCACCCACACCCCTACCCCTACCCAACCCGGTCGAAAGGACGGTGGCGGCGGCGCACGCGTGTGTGGTGGTTTGGGCTAAGATTCATTTTATCCATAACTCTTCCCTTCTACAAACTTGGGGTGCTCCTTAGGGCCCAATCCAAGTGTTATACTCTAGAGCTTATATACATACACAAGCTCTCTTAAAGTTTCAATGTGGGACAACCCATTTCAAGGAAACCCACATTTAATTCTTTAAATGTCCAATTCCACGAACCCGAAAATGACGTCAACTTCCCATTCACTCATAAATGGTTTTGACGAACCGTCTTCACCGTGTAACTTGCCATGCGGCAAGGAACACGTCACCTCTTCAGACCTACCCCAAACGACGTTTGGGACCCACTCAATTTTGAGCTCAAATTGGCCTTAAATAAGCCTTATAAAAACCAATTTTCCAACACAAAACGCAATTTGTTATTAGCACATGACAGTGTATTAGTATTTTCCATTCAATAATAAAATTGTATTTGGATTATAAATTTGAATCAGAATTTAAAAAGTAAGGGAAATGTTAATAAATATACATTATTATTTTTTAAGAACATATAAGTGGCATTTATATCAAAAGTAAGGGAAATGGATATAAGTGACATTATGTTAATAAATATACATTATTATTAAATGGATATAAGTGACATTGAAACTTATTTCAGTGACATTTTACAAAACTACTATCACTACTACAAAATGCCACTTATATGTTCTTTTCATTGACACTTTTAAAAGCTACAAGGCCCCGTTTGGGGACTTACTTTTTTAGCCAATTAGCCAAAAAGTTACTAAATTAGCCAAAAAACCAACAACTCATACCAAAAAGTCAAAGATTCTCTTTTCTCTCTACTTTTTGCACATCTTTTCGTAATTAACCAAAAAGTCATCTCAAACATACAAGTTTTTTTTACCTACCTTTTTAGCCAAATAGCCAAAAAGTTACTAAATAAGTCTGTTCCCAAACGAGGCCATGCGTAAATGCGTGTAAAAATTGAATTAATTTTTTAAGCAATTGAATATTAATTGCCACATCCTATATTAATTTGGCATCCATTCATCCTTTAATATTTTCATAACAATAAACAAATATTACTACCACGGGATCATCACATAAAAATAAATAAAATAAAATAAAAAATAATCCACAATCAATTATTTATTATTAAAATATAAATTTATTTATATTGCAATAAAAATCCCTTGCCGAAATTATAAAATATTCTACTACACTAACAAAGTTAAAGCAAAAAAAAATTAAAAAGAAAATTATTCCAACCATAAATTCTGAAAAGCCATAGTAGTGACATCTATATTTCAAAGAGACAAATTATCAAAACAAAATCAATTCCAAAACTCTCAACCTTACTTGTATAAATATTCTCGGCTAGCATCCATAACTTGCGAAATCTACATCCAAAAGATAAACTTATAAAGGTAATTGACACTATATTAAGTTAATATAAATTTGTTAATGAAATTATTATTTACGAAAAAAATATATCACAAATGGAGCAGGCCAAGCAACATGAGCTCCAATAGCTTATCCAACTGTTTTGACAAGTCCATATGATCTGATCAAGCTCTCATTAGGTTTGATTGGCACTTGAACATGTACCTCCCAATAGTCAGGTCATAATTCTTCTCCTTCTACTTTTTTAAATGCGTCTGTGCTTTTAAATACTCCGATTGCAACTGTTTCTGTTGGTCTAATGATACTTTTTAAAACAACTATATCTCCCCCCTGTAAATCAAGATTTAATTACTTAAGCAATTATATATTTACAATTAATAAATAATATTTAAAAAATAAACTAGTACAAAGTACTAGAGTAAAGATGATCACAACTGAAAGTGATATTCATTTTTCTAGTAGATACCAAATGATTTAATCACTTAATTGGTTCACCACATTACAACAAATTATATAATAGACCATATCAAATAATAACTTAAAGAATCAATAACCTATGAAGCACGGATACTTCAAAAAGGGTGACGTATCCGTATCGGATACTTATCGGATACCGACATTCCTCGGATACTCGCGGATACGTATCGTATACTTCTTAAAAGTATCGGATACTTAATTTTGAAGTATCGGATACTCGAAGTTATATATTACTTATAATATTTTGTTTAGTTCTTTCATAAGAGGAATATAGTGAGAGCTTAAGTAATAGAATTTGTCAAATTAATGTATCGCTGTTGTCTCTCTCATTTCTGTCTCGCTTTCTCACTCTCTCACGTTTCTTCTCTCTGCTCTCATTCTTTTTTTGGTGTTGGCATGTAAGGATGATGTTTAATTTGCATTTGCATTTGCTTTTGCTTTTAGTTTTGGATGTTTTATGAATGTTTGAACACTTTTAGGTTAATAGGAATCTCTCTCTTTATTTATTAATTTACTTTAAGTTTTATTTTCGTGCATATTACATAATTAAAATTATAAAAATATATTTTTTTTTACGAACGTATTCCCGTTGTACCTGTATCATACTTTTTCAAATTTTGACGTATCGCCATATCCGTATCCGTGCTTTCTAGGTTATCATTGATGACTTGTTGAAATTTTTATTTAATAATGATTTTTTGGCTTTAGCTAAGGTCCTGTGATATTCACTGATGAGGGGGAACAAGTTGAAGCTATTGACCTTGAAGACTCTTAGTTTTGTAGGAATCTTTCTTCTTTATGAAATTTTTATTTAAGAATGGTTTTTTGGCTTTGGCTTTAGCTAAGGTTTTGTGATATTCACTGATGAAGGGGAACAAGTCTTGAAGACTCTTAGTTTTGTAGGAATCTTTCTTCTTTATCAAGTTGTCTTTTGCTTTAAGTTTTATTTTTATGCATACTGCATTACTAAAAATTGTTAAAATAATATTTTTTACGAACGTATCCCCACCGTACCCGTATCCTAGTTTTTCAAATTTTGTCGTATCGCCGTATCGTATCATATCGTATCCGTATCTGTATCCCGTATCCGTATCCGTATCCGTATCCGTATCCGTATCCGTGCTTCCTAGATAACAACCAAAGACACCAATTAACAATTATCAAAACCATGCCCAAAGGATTTTGATTGACTTTCAGAGTTTCGGTTGTAACAAGAGAGCGAAAGCTTTGTGGAATTGTAACACCTTGCATGGTTGGAACCAAATGCTAGGATTTTCAAAGACAAGTTCGAGTACATAGAGTTGTTATGGGATAGAATGTCACCTGGCATCCTTTTGGGCTTCTGTTTTCTCTCCATTTAAAGGGATTCCTTTCTTTTGATTTCTAGAGATTGGATAGCAGTGTGATGTGTAGTTTTGAGGCATTGATATTGTGGCAGACTCATTGTCCTCCTGTTTGTATTTTTTCTCTCCTTCTAATAAAATACTTTTTTGTTGCTGATAAAAAAAAAAAAAAATAAATAATTACCTATATTATGCGGATGTTTGTGTGCGCATGAGAGAGAGAGAGAGAGAGAGAGAGAGAGTCATACATTTCTGGTGCTGGTAATATAGGAAACGATGACGGTGATGTCATCAAGCTTGCCACCATAATAACGGAACCAGTATCTTGGGCAGCTGTGGAAAAAGGAGTCTGACGGTTCTTATCCTGGACTCGTTGGCAAGCCAGCGCTGCTATCTTCTGAGCTGTAACCTGGGGCCCCAAGCCAGCTCTCATGGCATGAGCCACCACTGCAGTAACCTCATTGTTGTACAAATTGTCAAAGAGTCCATCAGTGCCAGCAATTACAACTTCTCCTGGAGCAACAGGAATTGTAAAGACCTGTATCAAACACGGGTCACATCGGTTGTTTATCAATTCCATATTCAATCAGGTAAATTTTTGAATAATTGCTGAGACATCATGCATTGTGTTATTCTGTGCTTTGCATGGCATTTGTTTGGTTGACATCAGCTACTGAAATTGTTTCTATACAACCAAAATTGCTGATTGAAAATGATCCTGTGGTTCTTGTGTGAAATGTATAGAAGAACGAGTCAGGTTAGGAAAAAGCTACTAGCCAGTTTCAGGGTTCACTCCAGAATAAATGAGAAGCTAGCAAGAAAAGTCAACGATGCATTCAAGTAGGAAAAGTGACTCAATGGAGAGAATTTTAAAAACCAACAATGGTTGAGAATTAGAATGATGACTCAAAACATCCACAGAATATTAGATTATATAACCAGATAACACACAAATGCAAATTCATTATCACAACATGATATGTCAAATTCTCACAAAAAGTCCCAATGCCAACAAGGATTCCACTTGCACAAGCAGGGACGATAAAAATCCCAAACTCCGTAATGTTTCACACACGAGAGAAACAGACTCGGTGCAAAACTCTGCAACTCACTAAAGAGAGTAGGGCACTTTTGGTGGTTCTGGGAAAGAGGGGAATAAAATCTCCAGGAGCATTGAATTGAACAGATGATCCATTAACATCACTTGCAAACAATCTAGAATAAAACTACCAAATTTATGCCATCACAAATATAGAATCTGCAAATCCACCAAAACAGAAACTTTCTGCACTAAGTGAGCAGCACAAAAGTTAAGTGCAGTAACTGACCTGACCAGAGCTAGGCAAATCACCGCCATTTCCACTCTCCAATTGGTATGTGAAGTTAAAATCATGCTGCTGCACAGGGGATCGGAAAATGGTGCATCCATCTCTAACCACTATAAGCCCACTGTCTCCTAAATTAATGGCATGCAGACCCTGCAAAACAAAGCAGAATTAAAAGTTCGTTTCTGCAAAATATACAAAATAGATGTTCCAGTTATCTTGTTCTTATTCCAAAGAATTAAACCATAAAATATAATCAGGTGACAATCAAAAGAAGATTTTATAATGGCCTCAACTAATCATAGAACCAGATATGAGTTTCAGTTCCTTTCATCCAGGAAAAGTGGGGTAACCCAGATCCTACTATATGAAGGGAGCATTCAAAATGGAACAAAACCTTTTTTTTAACAAAGCATTGACAAAGTGTTCAGTCCCAAACTCTAGGTTAAGTTAGCTTTCAACCTTCTCAAGTCCAAAGCCCAACTCTTGCAAATTTTCCCTATGTTATATGGACTCTTCAATTTCGTTGAAGTGCCCATGTCAATATAAGATGAGGGTACAAGTACAGGACACCATTATGATCCTTTCGTTTTGATTAGGATACTTCTTATTTTTTTTCTTTTTTTGAGGAAAAATGAAATAAAATTTGGAGTAAAATCATTACATTCTATATTTTGCAGTACCAATACATAAAAAATATAATAAAATTATCATATTACATACAATTGCATACATTGGCAATATATTAAAAGTATAGTAAAATCATCACATTCTATATTTTGCAGTGCCAATACACAAAAAATATAGTAAAACTATCATATTACATACAATTGCATATATTCCGCCCCCAGCAGTGCCTTGGGGAGGATTTATAAATCGATACAGAAGCAAGATCGTTAGCACCAGCACTTGAAATATATATATATTTATATATCATTTGACCTTCACTATTGCAAGGGATTTTAGACCAAATTCACTTCTCAGCTGATTATCCTCCATTTTCAATTTAGCTAAAAATTCAAATGCTTCACTCATTTCTTTGAAGTTTTTTTTTCCTGCTCAACCAAACAGCACAACCACCAAAACTAAACAAAACTATAAACAATGATCCAAATGTACCACTCTTTGATCCCCATAAGTTTATTGGTAGTGCAAATGTGCCATTCAAAATAAAAGATCTTGCATTGACTATGGCTCACAACAAACTTAATACTAATGAAATGATTCAAAAAAGAAAACCAAATTGCTATTTATATCTGCAATAGTGTGTCATGTGTAAAAGGGACAAGGAGAGTAATGATCACTTATTTTTTCATTGTCCTGTGGCATCGACACTACGGTGGAGAGTGCTAGATTTTGTGAAGGTCTATGGGGTGGTACCTTCTTCTGTACAGTTTTGCTTTGAATTTATGGGCATTGGTTCTAATATGAAGGCACAGGTTCTTTGGAGATGTGTAATTTGTGTGGCACTTTGAATGATATTTGTTGGAGAGGAACTTAAGAATCTCTGAGGATAGCTTATGGGATAAAATTTGTTATTTGGCTTCCTTTTGGGTTTTGATGTCTCCTAGTTTCCAAGGAATTCCTTTATTTTTTATTAATATATAGTTGTCAAATCGAGATTCGTATTGTGAATCGAAATGACCTTGTACCGAATCACGAATCGAATCGAATCGTGAATCGTAAAGATTCGGTCACTTTTTTAAAATTACTTAAAAATAGATATTTACACATTTAGATGATAAATATATCTTATGAAAATGAAATATCTAGGCTTAAATCAATAAAAATGTTATTTTGAGTGATAATCACGTAGTTTAATAGGTAAGAAGTTAACAAAATTCTTATGTAAGATCACTATCTTACTTTTTTTCTTTTTAGATATTTCTTATCAACCATTCTTAATAAAGATAATAACCAAATAGACAAATTATTAATTTTCAAAATAACAATAATTAACAACGATATTGATATTTGGACAATAAGCATACATACTTTTCTAAGTAACAATGAACAAATAATAAGAAAGAATTATTTAGAAAAAGCTTAAAACATTTTCAAAGGTATAACTGACCTCACATATGTAATATTCAATTATATTCAATTTAATAAAATAGCAATAGATAATTCATAGTGTAACTTTAATCTTAAACATCTTTAGAAGATATATTATGATTTTTTAAAGGGGAAAAAAATGAGAAAAAATGTTAAAAATATGTTAGATCTGAATGAATCTGATTGGATTCTATTAAAAACTTCAAGATCACTAAAATAATAACAAATTATGTATATATATTGGTTATTTTGGTATTAAACGCTATTATAAGTTGTATTATGTCATTTTCACCAAAAATATGGAGAAAGAAATAGTTGAAAATATGTCGGACACAATAATTTAAAAAATTATGTGAATCGTAAAAAGTGAATTGAATCGTGAATCGATTGTGAATCGTGCGACTCACTAAAGATTTACTTCCAAAATAGATTCACCCACACATTCGTATCGATTTTGCAAAAAATTCGAATCGAATCGTGAATCAAATCGCGAATCGTAAGATTCTGATAACAGAGAGATTCACTTATAGATTCGTATCGATTTTACAAAAATTGTGAATCGAATCGCGAATCGAATCGCGAATCGTAAGATTCTGATAACATATTGGATAGCCATATACCATGACATGCAATGCATGGGGAGAATGCAAATTTTCAGGGGTCCCACCGACCTCCATTGCTATATATATATTAATGGAAGTGGGTGGAAACATTCCTTCTGAAGAGGTTTGGGTGGCAGTGGAAATCTAAGAGTCAACAGGATCTGAGAAAGTTTGCAATTCTTCGTGGGCGTTGCCATAAGGTGTGATTTTTTGCTCTAGAGGAATTGGAGGTCGTGCCTTAAATCGTATTTATTTTCTATACAGTAATTTTAAAAGGAGTTGTCTTTCATCAGGTTGGACTTCAGCTTGTCTCCAGGGATAATGATATGGACTCTGCAACCCCCTTCAAGAAGTCAGATATTATAAGCATGGTCCCCGTATACAAGGTACAATACATAGATAATTCACTTCAGAACTCACATGTTGAATTTTTGGTAAGCTCTTTGAGTAAGTTCGGAAAATTTGGATATTTTCTACAGCATGTTGCATGTTCATCTGCGGATGGTCGTACATTGTTGGAATCATCCAAGACTTCCTTGGATAAGGGAAAATTGGAGGATGCTGTCAATCATGGCACTAAGGTATCGAAAATTGCTTTCTTTTTTTCTTTTTTTTCCTTTTTTTTATTTATTTATTTATTTTTTGTAGTTATGTAATAGTTCTCTTATGAATTCAATACTTATTTGCACCAATATTCTGTATTGAATTTTGAAGGCACTCTCAAAGCTCGTGTCAGTCTGTGGCCCTTATCATTGAATGACAGCAGGCGCATATAGTCTTTTGGCTGTAGTGCTCTACCATACTAGGGATTTTAATCAGGTATTTGTCCAACTTGTATAATTTTGTGATCACTGGACTGGTGACATGCTTATATTAATATAATTTTGTTCAAATAAACTCAAGTGCTTTGCATTTAAATTTTCGTATGATAAACACATTAATCTACTATATTTATACCGAAATGTGAACCGGATGCCCATACATGGGCCATATAGTCTTGAAGCTGGACAAGCCTATAGAAAGCTATGATCACGTGAGCACATCAATAATGGTCCACAAAAATTTATTAAGATTTAGAGGACGATATATATGCAACAAAATGGAAGTGAATGGTTCAGAACCTAAAAACAGAAACGAAAAATGTTGTGTTGCTGCCTTGCTACCTCATCACACCATATTTGGCTTTACCTATCCTATCAAGTTTGTGACTTTGAGGGACACATAATAGCAACATGTAGATTTCCAAGGCCAAGAGGAACTGTAACGCCGATCAAATATAGTATAATAAATATAATCCAAAGCATACACGACAGCTGCATAAATCAGAGTACAAGTCCTTCCATTTCATAACATTGGTAATCTAAACTTGAGGACAAAAACATTTATTTAGATAATACGGGATCTTTTGATATCAAAATTCATGTTCATCTAACTGAGTAATTTGTTAAAAAAACAGAGCAACCTAATGCAAAATTCCACCGAAGCATTTAAACAAACACTTGGAAGACATTATATACAATCACAACATAAATACAACAATAATAAATTACAACGAACCTTTTATATTAAAAGATGAAAATTAATAAATTCATGAGTTACAAAATTAGATTTTCAGATTGTATCAAGTTTTATGCCTAAAACAAGAAGATCATAAATAAGTGAGAAAGATAGAGGTATTGTGTGTGTTTGATGAGTGTGAGAAAGAGAGAACGAATACCTAATGAACTCTGATCGTAGAAGATGAAAACACAACGAATTTGTGGTGTAGATGATAGATAAGGATGGAATGAAAGACATAGAATGATAAACCCTTGCTTCATGATTTGGCTCCCGCCTCTTTGACCAGCCAAAATCAAATTCACTTCACCAAATTCAGAATTTTTGGACATCCTTCTCGGTCTCTAAGTCGATCTGGTATGCGGATTTTGCTGTATCAAATTTGATTTATTTCTTCAGTTGGGTTATTTCCTTTGTTGTATAACATAAAAGGGAAAAAAAAAAAAAAAACAAAGAGAATGAGAATGAGTTTGTTGATATTTAAATATAAAAGTAAATATTAATATTGGTCCTTATATTTTTTATTAAATCAATTGTAACTTTAATTTTAAATTTTGTGTTAATTTAGTGTAATTAATAATACAGTTAATATTTTTGATAAAAAATGATTACTGAATTTGTTGAGGCTAACTCAACGAATTGAGCAAACTTATTATTTTATCTCTAAAAAGATGACATGTGTCACTTAATCATTAGCAAATGCTAATAATTATGGCTAATTACACTATTAGTCTTTCTATTTTGGCTATTATGTGATTTTAGTCTTCGTAATTTCAATTGAATCGATTTTAACCTTAAATTTTTTATTTTGTCTTTAAATTAATCCAATTGATAGCATTTTTTTATGACACATGAAATCTGTCATCGTTTTATGAATAAAACAAAATATTTTGTCAATTCAGTGGCTTAATCTTAACCAATCTAAAGAAAATTTTCTATCAAAGACCCTAAAGATTTTACATCAATTGAACTAAATTTATGTAAAATTTAAAATTAAGTGTCAAAATTTAGTCAATTAAAACTATGTAGAACAACAAAATATAAGGATTATTGATGTAATTTACCCAATAATTATAAGCAATTGAAATAAATTTTGAAAATATATTGGCATTTTTTGTTTTTTCAAAAAATGCCATTAGATAGGTTGGAAATTTTTTAGCTTAGTGGCATTTCTCAAAATGCTATAAAATATTGTTTATGACACTTTTTACCTAATGCCATAGAAAGTAGCTTAGTGATATTTTTTAAAAAATGTCATTGCTACTAAAGTTTAGTGGCATCTGTTAACAAATGTCACTAAAAAAATTTCTTGTGTCATTATTTTATAAAATGCCATAAAATTGATATGACATTTCTTTATTAAAATGCTACTAGAGCCTTATATGTTTGTGGTTTTGTGGTATTTATCTAAATGTATCACCAAATATTATTTTTGTGGCATTTTCTAAAAACATGCCACTAGTATAGTGTCATTAAAGTGTGTTTTTGTTGTAGTTTTGTGACACTTATTTATTGAAATGTCACTAGAGTCTTATGTTTTTCGTTTTGTGGCATTTTTCAAAAACGTGTCACTAAATATCATTTTTGTGATATTTTTTAAAAATATGTCATTAGTGTAGTGTCACTAAAGTATGTTTTTGTTGTAGTGGAGAAGGGTAATTGAAATTTAATTAGCATATTGTGAGGTTTATATTATATAGAATAAATCTGAATTATATATTGATATTTTTAAATAAAATCTTGAATAAAGTTTTTAAATATATAGAATGAATTGGCTTTTAATTAATCACGTTCAAAAATTATATACCTATTATTGTATCAAACGTCATAAAACGTGAATTTGATTTAATTAATAGAAAATAACAAATCAGCGTCCATTTTAAAAAATAATTAAAGATTTATAGTAAATTTTATACACTTTAATGATTAAAGTTATAAACTTTTTCACTGTAATTATTTTAGAATAAGACCATTGATTTGGAAATTTCCTTAATTAATCACCTTTTTCTCAAATACACGTTCACGGCTCTCAGCAACAGATACATCGTCCATGAGAAGCCCAGGTTGGGAGGATGCTTTCGGTACCTCAGATCGTGCTGAAGCTGGGAGAAGGTATGTATGTACAGATAGTGAAATCTTCCATGATTTGCTTCTAATCATTGGTAAATTTAAAAGGATTAGATTTTTCTCGTGTCATGGACTAAACTGGTTATCAGGACCCATCATGAGGCTCACTTTAATAATTCTACCCATTCATTTTGTAAATTTTAGTGTCTAGATTATTTAAGAGGGAAAAATTAAATTGATACAATAACTATAAGTATATGGTCTTACTGATTGCAAAACTGCCTCTACTCCGGTTGATCCTCAGATTCGTCTCACTCCTCTCGATGGGACTCTTCTCTCTGATGCTACTCTTTATCGCCAGCTCGTCGGCAGCTAAATGCCTGTAAATGATGTATGTATATACTGTTTTTGTTCTGAATGTGAACATGTTATGAAAAGTCTTTTTGCATACAGACTGTCACAGCTCATTAGACATCTTTTAATTACTATTTTGGCTTCTGTCAACCCCTGTACTCTGTATTACTGTTTTACTGTTAAGCAGGCCTTCGGTAATCTCGGATTACTGGTCGGTTACGGTGCTAAACCCATAGGGGCGGGTTTGGGTCGTGACAACCAGTCCGCCTCTCCAAATTGCGGTTGTCCTCCTCAATCGTCAAACGCCCAATCAATTCTTCCAAAAACATTTCTTTGCGCTTGTGTTTGAGATAATTCTTGAATTCGTTCCAGCCTTGCGGTAATTTCTCAATTAAGGCTGCAACTTCAAAGGATTCACTGAGAGACATGCCTTCTGCGTAAATGTCATGCAGAATGAGTTGGAGATCTTGAACTTGGCTGATCACAGTCTTAGAATCAACCATCACAAAGTTCAGGAATTTGCCAACCATAAATTTCTTTGAGCCGGCATCTTCCGTTTTGTACTTTTTCTCCAAAGACTCCCAAAGTTCCTTTGCTGTCTTGATAAGACTGTAGACATTATATAATGTGTTGTCAAGTCCGTTCAAGATGTAGTTCCGGCAAAGGAAATCAGCATGTTTTCAGGTATCGACCGCAGCAACCACTTGCCGGTTAGTTTCATCCTCTTTCAAAATAGGAGTATTCTCACGAAGAAAATGAGTCAGGTTCAAAGTTGTAAAATAGAACAGCATTTTCTGCTGCCATCTTTTAAAGTCAATTCCAGAGAACTTCTCTGGCTTCTCACCGTGATTTACCGGTACTGTCACAACATGAGAGAGTGTTGGCGCAATTGCAGCCACCACACTAGTACTTGTTTGAGCATTTGTTTCAATAGCCATGAATTCTAAATTATAATTAAAATTTATACTACATAGAAAATTAATCCAAATTCACAGAATTAAATTCTGTAAAAATAAAAGAAACAAGAATGTAACTTTTATTTTTCAATTAATTTGGAAATAAAATAAAAATTTTATTTAACCAAATTAATTCCACAGAGAAAATTAAATTTCTGTAACACTTCAATAATTAAAAAAAATGAATTTATTTTTAATTAATGAACACTCATAAATTATTAAGAAAACCAAAATTAATTTCTGACAAACTTCACAAATAAATATTTTGAATTGTTAATGACACCAGCATATTCCTACTAGTTGTCAAAGAAAAAAGACAGTATATTACTACTATTTGTTTTTCAACCAGAATATTGTTTTGTAAAATCACATAAAATAATTTCTGTAAGAAGAAGAAAGAAGAAAGGAAATAAACAAAAAATGTTGTAAACAGAATAATTCGAATCTTTCTTAAGATTATTGGAACAATCTTCTGTGTACAATAAATAAATTGAAACAAAATCAAACAAATAAAATAAATAACGTACCGAATTTATTTTAACCGAGCCGCATGAATATTTAAAGACCAAGTCGAGTGTGTGACATTCTGTCCTTAAGACAGATTCGCCCGGCTAGGGTGCTTTCGGTAAAGTGGCGTCTATCTCCCAAGATACAATGATCTTCACAAGTTTGTAGTAGTACTCTAAACAAATTTGTTCGGCGAACTAAAACCTCGTGTTCTATACTCTCTTAAATTTTTCTCTAAAACTAGAATGAAGGAAAAATAATGCAAAGAAGAAAATCGAAAAATACTGGAACAGATCTGGTTTTGTAGACCTGAATAGGTGCAAAATTTGAAGTGAACAGATGGGTTTTTGAATTGAGCAGGTACTGTTTGAATTCCAACAGATCTGCTGGACAGTTTGATCTGTTTGAACCATATAGATTCAAATCTGTTAACTGTAGCAGTTTCTGGTAGTTAAAAACTGAAAAACAGTTTGAAACTGTTTAGGAAATTCGGACAGAAGTTGGTAAATAATGGACATAAAATAAATTCAATTTTTGAATTAAATTAAATTTTCCCACAATAATTTTTGAAAAAATTCAAAAGAATTTTGTCCAAAAAATTAATACAAGAACCGACCCACACCCACACTCACTCCCGGCATGGCTCAGTCGGACGGGCGGCGCGCACGTGTGTGGTGGTTTGAGCTAAGGTTCATTTTGTCCATAACTCGTCCCTTCTACAAACTTGGGGTGCCCCTTAGGGCCCAACCCAAGTGTTATACTCTAGAGCTTATATACATACACAAATTCTCTTAAAGTTTCAATGTGGGACAACCCAATTCAAAGAAACCCACATTTAATTATTTAAATGTCCAATTCCACGAACCCGAAAACGACGTCAACTTCTCATTCACTCATAAATGGTTTTGACGAACCGTCTTCACCGTGTGACTTGCCATACGGGAAGGAACACGTCACCTCTTTGGACCTACCCCAACGTTTGGGGTCCACTCAATTTTGGACTCAAAGTTAGCCCCAAATAAACCTTATAAAAACCAGTTTTCCAACACAAAACACAATTTGTTATTAGCACATGACAGTGTATTAGTATTTTCCATCCAATAATAAAATTGTATTTGAATTAGAAATTTGCATCAGAATTTAAAAAGTAAGGGAAATGTTAATGAAATATACATTATTATTTTTTCATTTTTTTTTCTTTTCTAAATCCATAGTCCATACACACAGTGTAAATATATTAATATTAATTATGTCCGAAATTGTGAACTTTACTACTTTAGATAAATCACAAATTGTATTTTGTACACATGGTTCTTGTGACAAGAATTACATTTCCTTGTTTGCTTCTAATTTTTTGAATTTAATTTTTAAAAAATTGAATTTTTTTATTTTTTGTATTTTTTTTAGTGAATTTTTTTAATATTTTAAGTAATTTTTTACTTTTTAAATACACTTGATATAAATACAATTAAAAAGTATAATATTTGTGAATTTTAAAAAAAAAAATCATTAAATACCAAAAATACTAAAATTCAGTATACTTTAGTATTCTTA